GATTAACATTGTTAATATTGTTGTATTATTAAATATAACCCCTTCCAAAGTTACTGAAGTATAACTCCTATTTTAGAAGGGTGAGAAGAACAGTATTTTTGTTTAAACACCTATGGCATGTGGGCTGCTACCATGGCTGCTACCGCCCTCCCTGTGACGTATTTCCGGTAAACTGTCAAACTCTGTGCTACATGTCAGTCGACGGGACAGGCTTGGACGAAAAACCAGCGGACGTGCAGCTTGTAAATTTGGCAGATCCAGGTAAAATCACACATGTAACAACAAGTTTACTTAGTTACCTTTTCCCACTTAGTTTTAGGTGTATTGTTCTGCTTGTTGAACCACTTTTCTCACATTTTAAAGGTTTAGTTTAGTCATTGTGGTTCACGCGTTGTTGTTTTTTAAATGTATCATTGTTTACTGTGTGACAGCTGGTGTCGTTACTACAAGCTACACGTGATAAGCCGAACTGTGTCGATCATTGTAAAATCACTAGAACAAGTATTTCTGATGAGCTCCGTCATTAGTTTACTCTCCTGTCGTGTTTTTATTTATGTATATTTTTTAAGGATTACCGATTTGAGATTTGCGTGCGAAAACAGCTGCGATTTCTGTCATGACTACGGACATTTTTAAGGGTTAACGCAACACAAAGTCCCTGTTGTGTCCCAGTGTTAAATCCACAGACTTAAGAATTAAACGCCACCTTTTATGAATGGAGTTTGTTGTTTACAAATGTCTGAAACATGATTGTATGATAACGTAATTAACCGTTGGGTAATTTCCCAAAGCCCTAGTCACTGCAGGCCTCACTATTCACAGCAACAAGCACATCAAGTATCACGAAGAGTGACAGGTGTGTTTGAGTGTGTGTGTGTGTGTGTGTGTGTGTGTGTGTGTGAGAGAGAGAGAGAGAGAGGGAAGCAGGGGGAGCCTGCATAGATCAAGTGTCCTTGCCACAACTTGTCATAAAAATAGTCAGAGGAAGATCAGTGTGACTTAGTTGAACAGTTCTCAGAACAAACCAGCATCTAAAAATCCTCTAAAGAGTGTGTATTGCTTAGTTTGCCCCCCCTTTCCATTTATGATTTAAAGCTTGTGTGATTAGAAAGTGATTACACATACCAGCAGGGTAATCCAGGGTCAGGAATATCGATTAACAATAAGCTTCTGTGCTGGATTCTGTTGTTTCGCAACTGTACATTACTTGAGTGATTGTACATTTATTTGCAAACGTGTTCTTTCTTTGTGCTGTTATATGGGTTTTCATTTACCCGTGAATTATGACACCTTAACAGCAACTCAAACATGAACGTATTGCTGTGCTGTGTTGTTATTTAATGTGCCATAACAAATCATTTTGTTACAGGCAGTCCAGAGAAATGTCTTTCATATTTGACTGGATCTACAAGAGCTTCAGCAGTGTCTTGCAACTATTAGGTAAAGTAATGTTGGACAGAAAATGAGCAGTAGTTTTTAGCCAGTCTGAATGAATGTCAGTCGCTTTGTCAGTAGAAATCAACCAAGCTTTGGGGCGAAATACCTAATAATCTATTAATACCTAATAAAATGACTACTAAAAAGTAGTTGTAGTGTGTTTCCTGTAAATATATTCACCAATTCCTTCCCAAACACTAACAACTGTGCACATCATTTATTTGTGTTATCTATATTTCTCAAAAACAGTGTGCCCCCCCCCCCCCTGGTGTTTGTTATGACTGTGGGACCATCATTGAGATACAAAATAACATCCAAAATGTTACACCGTTATTAGTGATTTTATATGACTTATTGTTTGTTTTCTTCTTGTCCTCAGGTTTGTACAAGAAGAGCGGCAAGCTAGTGTTCCTTGGACTTGACAATGCTGGAAAAACAACACTCCTGCACATGCTCAGGGACGACAGGCTGGGACAGCACGTGCCCACACTGCATCCAAGTACATTCACACATTTCACATGTTGTCAGCTCAGCAATTGGCCTTGTGTTACTTGCTTCAACACTTGTCTAAGGTCAGTGCTTCCCCTCTGTCCTCAGCATCTGAGGAGCTGACCATAGCTGGGATGACCTTCACAACGTTTGACCTCGGTGGTCATACACAAGGTAGGAACAGGTCGAAACTCACGCTGACAGATGTCTGTTACATAAACGCTGATATTGTGTTTCCCTCACAGCACGAAGGATCTGGAAGAACTACCTCCCAGCCATAAACGGTATAGTCTATATGGTGGACTGTGCTGATCATGAGCGACTAACAGAGGCCAAAGTTGAACTGGATGTAAGTTACTTGTGATGATTTCATTTGTGTATCAACACACAACAACGTTTTTTTATAATGACCTCTTTTATAATATTTCACTCTTTCTGTCTGCAGGCCCTGTTGACAGATGAAACCATCTCAAACGTCCCGGTCCTCATCCTAGGGAATAAGATTGACCGTCCAGAGGCCATCAGTGAGGACGGACTCAGAGGAATGTTCGGTCTTCATGGACAAACAACTGGAAAGGTGATGAACATGATGATAATTAAATTATTTAAAAGGATGATAATGTCAGTCAAGTTTATTTTCTATTTGTACACTACTGAAAATAGTAGAATTTTTATTTTATTTTCTCTGTTATTGCTTTACGACTTGAATAAGTAGCATATTTGGGTCCATGCAGCATATTCCTTCAAGGATTTTTGGAATGCATAATAACAACAACAACAGTGAGCTTCACAAATCACTCAAGGCTAGACCTACATTCCTTTCAGCTCCTGAGAAAATTGTATATGCACTCACTGTTGCTCTGAGATAGTAGAAAACGCTGTGTTTCTAATACAAATCTGAATAGCCATGGGCAGGCATGACAGTGCTGTTAAGACGCAGTTGGCATAGTACTGGCTCATGCTAATTTTTCATCATTAGTGTTAATCGGGTTAACCACTTGCTGTCTCTCGGCAGAGGAAACAAGAACAGAGACAGAAAGGAAGTAGGATGCAAAAGTGAGGAATGATTAATGTCATCGAGTCAGACCGCAGCCCTACAAATATCCCACTACAGCATGCAGACATGTACAGGTTTAAAATCGTCCATAGGAAAGGTTATTGCCCTTTTTTGGGTTGTGAATTATAATCTGTGTTTTTTGTTTCTTTTCAGGGCAAAGTGTCACTGAAGGAGGGGAATTTGAGGCCAATGGAAGTTTTCATGTGTAGTGTGCTGAAGAGACAAGGATATGGAGATGGTTTCCGCTGGCTCTCCCAGTATATTGACTGATGCGCGTTCTTTAAATAACCTTGTTTACCATGCTACCTGCGCACACAGACATGTGTTACACAACACTACCTGCCGTAGAGCGATATTTTGATAAATATACTTTATTTAAAACTTTGTTTGTGCCTGTAGAAAATGTGTTTCAAGTAGTGTTTTGTGTTAATATACCATGTATTCTTTATGAGTTTGAAGAAATCTGTATGTCATATCAATCATACCACAGTTAGTCAAAGATTAAGTTAGGAATAATCAGTCTGTGTTGTTCAGATTGAGTGTGGAGAGTGATCTTCATGGTGATCTTCATTCTCTTAAGAATGTGTCTGCCATATAGAACATGTCATCGCTGTGAACCAGTTTCTGACCCTGGTTTATTTTTAGCGACTAGTGTAGACTTACAGTGAAGGTCAATTTGGTTAACATTTTGTACTGGGAGTTACTCTTCCTTGGTTGACGATTAATATTATTATTATTATATCTTTATATTTAGCTGATTTTTTTCAAAAATAATGGGAAGTACTCTAGGTTTTGTCCAAGAATGTAATATTTCTTCTGGAAAGTGCTGCAGAGATTTGGTGCCATATTTCCTAATAAGGAACGTGTTAATAGTGAAGCTTGCTACCTCCAAGGACACAGACAGTTCTAATGATAGTAGGTTTTTTCAACCATTACAGGGTTTACCACTACAGGCCATATATGTGACCATAAGTGCATTAACTGAAATGTTGCTGTGAGGAGCTTTATCTTCAATGGTTCAGAATATTGTTAAATAATTGCAGTATATAATAACTGCATCAGCACAGCCAGGTGATGTAACAAACTCATACTTGGATGACAAACTACCTGTCTCATGAAGAGTTAGTTGCTTTGTAACAACTTGAGTACTTTGTGATTAGTAGCTGTTCACAACATGCAGTGATACTATGAGAGTACTTGGGCTGTGATTAAAAATAGAGCATGAAAGGACTTAGTGCAATACTATACATTATTTTGTATATAAGCTCTTATTTATATTTTGCAATACAAACATTGGCTTTCCTTATGTTACATTAAGCACTGAAGCAATGTATCTGGTACAAAAGATAGGTCTTATTGTTATTCTATGTGTGAAGTTTGAGCATAATAAATATTTCTGACAATCCTTTAAATCTGTCTCATTTTTAAAAGTATAGTAAATTGTGTGATTCAACCTCAAACCAAACAATACTATTATAACGTTATCATTTTCTAGTTCTAACTGGTTTTAAGATAAGATTATTAAAATGTACTGTTAAACACAATTAAACATTTAACACATTTAATAATAAACGTCTAATCTGTCCTTTTTGCCTGATAATTTCCATCAGCTGAACAGCCCATCCGTACATAATAAGTACTTTTTGAAAATATACTGGGGCGCTGCAGCACACAGAACTATCGTAACATAAACACTGAATAAACAACTGTTAACTGTAGTATGTATTCATTAAGTACACGAGCCATTGAACCGACTGGTTTTACAAATTACACTGAATAAAAATGGGATTAAGGCTTCCATCCTTTCCCTTTTAGATATAAACCTTTCGAAATGATTCCCCAAAAATGTCAAAGTTTAATTTACAGTATCAAGAACGTATGGGATATGTGTAGTCGAAAGACCAACTAAGTTCCCGCCCTCTTGTTTCCGATTGGCTTAGAGCTGTTTGTATTCACATGCTGACCAATCACAGTAATCGTCAGGTGGTGGTTGACCAATGATACTCAACCAGGAAGCTAGAGGACAGAATTCACGTTATTAAATAGAACGGTGCAATAAAACAGTAGTTACAACTCGGTGTCAGGTTGCTATTATCCCTGTCAGTATGGATGTTTGTTTTATTGTCTTACCACTGATGTCTGTACTGGATTTATACGGGTTTTCCCTGTCTGAAAGTTGCTAAACCACGTTATCGACTATATGGTTAAAGTTCACCTGCTAACAGCATGGAGCTAAAGGACATAGAGAAGTGTTGCTGTGTTGTCAATCTGTTTGAGGCATTTTCAGCAAAGAAACATGTGAGCTGCAGCGGAGTTATCGTCCATCCTCAAAGTGGATTAATAATATGCACCGGCGTCCCGTTTTCCCGTTTTGCCACCGACAAAGAGCCCCTCTCCGCGGACCACAGGTTCCTGCCACCGCACAGCTTCAGTGAAAATCTGAAAATCCGCGTCAGCTTTTCCACTGAGCGAAATCTGGACTCCAGCCATTCTGCACAGGGAGAAGCGTCCTCCTCACCCCCCAGGAGCAAAGCAACACTTCAACGGGAAGTTGCTGCAGAGTTGCTGATGCTGGTGAACTGCCTGGAGTTCAATCAGGCTTTCCAGGCAGTTTTCCAAGATGCTGACCAGTGGCGTTTCCATTGTGATGATGAAGAGGATGAGGGGCTGATAAGAGATGCTCACTTCCTCAGCTGGTTCGCTGTGCTAAAGGCAAGTGATGTGGCAGAATGCAGCCCAAATGCAGGGGCTATACCCTGGCAGAGCAGCTCATCCCTCCATAAAGGATGCCCTGTTGTTGCATGTGGCTCACCCTTTGGCTCCCTCTGCGTGGATCTCTTCATCAGCACCCTCAGCAGAGGAATCATCAGCAACCTGGCCGGAGAGGACAACGCCATCATCCTCACAGACGCCCGGTGCTTGCCAGGCACAGAGGGTGGAGGGTTGTTTGCGGTGAAAGGCAAAGACAATGTGCGTCTCCTTGGACTGATTGTGTCTCCATTTGGTTGGAAGGCGAACGAGTGGATCGGCCTCACTCTGGTCTGCTCCGTCCACCTGATCTTCAGGAACATCATCCGCTGCATGACAGTTCAAGATCCGCTCAGAGATGTTTGGCTCCATCCAGGAGAGGAAGGCGTGATAATGTCAAATGCCGCCCATGAGTCGAAAGCTGTTAAATGCCCCACTGTGTGCTTTGTGGAGAGTGGACAGGTCTGGGGCTCGGGGGTCGTTGTCGCCCCTCAGCTGGTTGTGACCTGCCGCCATGTTGTCAACGGGAGGTCAAAGGTCACGCTGAAGTTCCATAACAGGGAAAGGTGACAGCACATCAAGGGGGGGGGGGGGGGGGGTATCTAGGCGCCCAGTGTCCTATGCCACATTACAACAAGGCTTTTCAAAGGATTTTATGTTCCAGCAATGTATGTTTCTTTATGTCTAGTGTTAAATCCCCCACCTAGAGCTTATTCTCAACCTACACGCTATTATTTCCAGGCACGACCCTGTCCAAAGATCTTTTTTTTACGATTCAAACTGCAATTAAAAGATCCATCTCCCTTTGTTTGTTTACAGTCAAATCATGCAAAGATATGAATTCACGCTGTTCTCTCTACAGGAAAGGATTCAATGGGGGAAATGTATCCAAAAGCATTTTAATACAGTTCTTACAGCAAACCTTTTTGTCTACAGCAGGAAAAGCCCAGATGGGACCCATAACAAGAATAGAATACAGCTACCATCGTGTTTCTCCTACTGTGACAGTTTAATTTGAGCACTGAGTTGCATTTAGTTTGTGGTTCTTCAAGGGTTTTTTCAAAATCAGCTATAAGGATGTAGGATCTTTCAGCTAGCTGTAATGTTTCTGATTTGACACAAACAACTAAATGTTAGCTGATGATTTTATTGATTTATTTTTCAGAGTCCATGATGTTATAGGTGATGTGCTGTTTTCCACTAAAGCCTCTTCACCCTATGATCTGGCTCTGGTGCAGATGAGGGACCCTGCCACAGGGGCTGTGGTCCCGACAATGGCTCAGAGTTACAATCCGGGTAAGATTTGTGACTTGTTTCGTGGTAACGAGTTACACCTCGCTTCCAGAGGAGATCTTTGTTCACTATAAAACAGTTATGAGTTCATCTTCTCTGCCTGCAGGTGAGTCTGTGGTTGTAGTGGGATACGGGGGCCTGGGTCGGAGATGTGGTCCGTCCCTGACCTGTGGTGTCCTCTCCAAAACCATCAGCCTGAACGAGCAGCCGGTCATGCTTCAGACCACTTGTGCAGTACAAGCAGGGACCAGCGGGGGGGCTGTGGTGCGGGCACGCTCAGGGGAGCTGCTGGGTAAGAAACTACAAAATCCTGTTCTCTTTTTGATCAGTGGGGGGCATATGGTGACCATGGAAGACTTCACTGTAACAAAGCAGTATGCATAGAGATAAGAGCTATACTTACCAGATACTCTTTCTGCACTGTTATGCAATTTGAAGGATTATTTGCTATTTTGCAGGTATCGTTTCCAGCAACACGAGGGACTTGGCTGCGAAAGTGACCTACCCCCACCTCAACTTTAGCATCCCAGTGACAGTTTTCCAGACAGTGTTGCAGAACTTTCACGAGACAAAGGATCTTAATGTGTTTAATGTGTTGGACAACTCAGAAAAAGAAGTTGAAACAGTGTGGAGACTACAGGGTGCACAAAGCAAACTATAACAGAGGAGCCCTGCACTTTAATATATTAAACCGAGATGGATTATTTGCAATATTAGATCATGTTAATATTATGTGACATTTTTAAACAAAACTGGTATTTTCTAATTTATTACCAAACCTCCATGTGTTATTAAAACAGGCATAGATCTAAAGGAGTTCATTTAAATAAAACAAGAATCATTCATTACTAATGTTGATACGATCACCCAGAATTATGCAGTTACCTGTGAAATATTTAGAATGCTATTAGCCAGTTGAGGTTACTTTAATATCTGCTGATATTGTTTTATTGTACTGAAATGTAATTATATTAATAAAATATTTTATTCTGGTAACAATTCAGTGTACGCTGGGTATATTTCTGTCACAAATTACACACATTATGACAACTAAAGGAATATAAATAGAGCTACAAATCTGAATAAAGCAAGATTTAATACCCATATGTATCAGTGTGTTAAATCATAATGAATCAGACAGAACATACCTGTCGAACATCTATAGTAACCCTTTGTCTTACAGCAACAGCACAAAGAAAAGACATTGCAGAATGTGTTATTTACACCGGGATCCGTTTCATATGGCATGTTGCCGCCAAGCAGGAGGAATATTCAGCATAACGGGCTGACAGGTTGCTGAAAATGATTGGTCCCTGTGGGTGGCCAGAAGACTTGCTGTCGGTATCAGGTATTCAGACATCTGTTGGCAGGCGTACCCACTTGCAGCTAGCACATTTAGGATTTCACCCACTGGGACATAACTGGTACTGATTTCCATTATCACCGAAATGTGAAACTGAGAAATGTTATTTAGAGGATTTGTTACTGTCAGTTTTTACAATGCTAAGACAATCTTTATTGGTCTTATCTTCCAAGAATGTGCATACACCGAAACGTACTGTAAGGTCTCTATTTCACTGTTCCCAGACTGCATAGAGAGACTCCAGTAATGTCCAGAGGATGCTGCCGAGAGAGGCATTGTGCTGTTAGAAGTGCTGATATGCAGTCTGTATCTCATTTCTGCTGCTTCCCCATAGCTATAAGCTCCACTGCTGCAGAGCAAGAAGTAGCAAGAGGGAAAGTGAGCTGGCAATTAGCTGTCCCGCTCAGAGGGGAGCATTATGTCTTTGAAATGGTAGTTTTTAAGATGGCACAGATGAGATGTTTTTTATTATAATCTTTTTACCTATTATTCAATTTCTATAGTGTTTAAGTTGTAGTTGAAGGCTTAAAATGATCCATAAATAATCCAAATAGAAGCTTTTACTTTAATTATCAGTGTTTTAAGACCTTTAATGAGGAAACCACAGATATACAGACATTTGTTGTACTATGAATGGTCAATGGTTATTGGAAAAATGGCCATGATTACTGTAAACTGTATATATTTATATGCTGCATAACACCGCTGCTTAAGGATTGTGTGTGAGAGTTTGAGGAGGAATAAAGAGAAAACACAAACATTCAGACACAGATATACGGTGGCCAACTTGGCCACATAGGCAAGTTTGTTTTATTTAGATTTTTTTTATTAAACACAGTAATTGATCCACATTATGATACGATGTACACTTGTCAACCAAGCAGTATATTCTGCTAGTTTTTCGAGGCATTAATAACAGGACTAATAGGTGACTCTTCTGATACACACATTATATACAAGCTAAAGAGTGATGCGTGAGGAACATTTCTATTTTAGTAAGTCATGAATGACTACTGTCACATATGAGCTGAAGCAAATGACATGAAAACGGTAAAGTCCAAGGTAGCTTTCCAATAATCCAACGTGGCTTCCTCTCTTTATCACCGTTTCCTGCCCTGAAATCTAAATGTTGTTAATCTGCAGGAAGAAAAGATGAAAACGGCCAATTTGGAGTATTGAAATGCACCCAGTCAATTTCCTTTTTTAAATGTTATACAAGCACATGACGAGCACCTGCAGCCGCTTAAAGTCTCCATTATGCATCAGCTAAAAACTGCTCAAAGATAGTTCAAAGGACTTACAACATAAGAGAACAAAGATTCACAAGTATGAAGGACAATATTCTCCAGACTCCATTTCTTAGTCGTGATATGTCCCCTCCCCCTGCCCCTTTAAAGTACATCCTGTAACATTAAATACACCCATTACATATGCATCTCCCCTCCACCAACCCTAGAGGCCCTTTGCTTTTTCCATAAGCCAGTGTTGTTCTGAGTGTGATAATTTCACCACCTCCATCTTTTTGCAAAATCTGTGTGTGTATGTGTGTTCAAGACCATCGAGATGCTCCTGTAGAGAGGCTGGACTGCACATTTACCAGATATAACCCCCATCATCCACCTCCCCCACCTCGCCCTCTTCCTCTTCAGCCTCCTCTGCAGTCTCCTCAGCCCCCTTCTCTTCCTCGTCTTCCCATCCAACCCCGCTGCCAGTATCACCTGAATATGCCATTTCATCATCTGTAGAGAGACAGGGAGAAAACATGCAGGAGGGGGGGGGGGGGGGGGGGGGGGGGGGGGATATAGAGGGAGATTAAATTATCCACTGTGGCAATCTTAAATTCTGCAATAAATTCTGTTCAGCATGTCTTCCTCTCAACTTTGACGGAGTCCTTTCTATCAATGAGAAATGCTGAAATCAATTAAAAAAACATTGACTGCAATGGCAAAAGGGGGGCATGTGTTTGACTTTGTCTGGGTTTTAATAGCTATTTCTAAACCTTGCCAGGGGAGCCATTCTTATCAGGAGCAGGTTCAGTCCAACCAGCCCTCATTTATCTTGAAAGACTTTTCTCACAGCGACAAGCGGTGCTTTGGAATGCAAATGACTCCATGAATGTGGGACTGGTCCCTGCAATGAGTTATGTTGCAGTGGGCCTCAGCCCTTTAACATAAAGAAAGCCTTGTACAGAACGCATGTGGGGCGATGTAGAGAAGCAGGCCATCTGCAGCGGAAATTTTACATTTTTTCCTCGCTACATTCAGCTTTCAAATTCTATTCACTTTTATATTGACAGCTGAATCCTACGGGGCTTACCGCAATCTGGCTTGCCGCGCATCCTGGATCCGGCTACTTCTCCTCCGTTTTGGTCCACACACCAGCACTCTCCCCTGTCACACTGCTGCTTCCTGTAGTAGCCGTCCTCGTCGCAGCTTGGGATGAATCGACCTGGCGTTCACACGTAGAAAAACACAAACAAATAAGAGTCGGTTCTGGTAAAGCAACCTTAACCTGCAAGGAGATAAACACAGCCTGCATCATGCTTCCCTACACATGGCGCCGATGCCAAGTAAGAGTGTAATGCATGCAGCATATGTGGCAGTCAATTCCCTTTTCCATGAATACAAATATGTTCACGGAGAAAGATAGGGGTGAATAAGTATTAAATCAGCATATTGGGGTGGTGTGGGGGGTAGATAGCCAATCATCATGGGATGAGCAAGGGACACAAAATTGGAAAGTTCTCAATTTCTAAACCCTTAAATGAATATGAAATACAGCTTGTGTTCACACACTACAGTGTAAAACAGGTTGGAGCTGCATTATCACCTTCATGCTTGGAGTTTTCCTTAAGGAGAGTTAACTGTCATACTGTATAGAGATGAGGGATTTGTCATGATGTAGCTAGTTTCATATTAATGTAAAAGCTAGAACGGGACAAAACAAAAACTGTCCTTCCAGTCTTTCGAGGGAACATCTGAGTGCGGCCCCCTGCTCGCCACTCTGTGTCCTTGGAGAGTCCTGACTCAGACACCAGTCAACCAGCCAAAATCTGCAGTGCGCACACACACACACACACACACACACACACACACACACACACACACACACACACACACACACACACACACACACACACACACACACACACACACACACACACACACACACACACACACACACACACACACACACACACACACACACACACACACACACACACACACACACACACACACACACACACACACACACACACTCACACCGGCTCACACATACATGTAAGACACACTGATGGCTGCTTTCCTTTGCCGTCTGTCAGTATCGAGTTCTAATCCAGCAGACTGATCAGAGACTAATCCCGGCCTCCTGCTTGTCATCTGCTGGATGAAATCCCTCCACCAAGAAAGACAGATGAAATTGGGCTGAAATGCTGTCACGAGATGCCAGATACCTACCAAACTTTCTTTTGCCGCCGTCTAGCACTTGGATCCTCTCGAGTTCAGTCAGGCAGGAGGGCTCTTAAAAAAGACAGGATATATTATTTTACAAGAGAACAAAGCACACTCTAAGGCACAATAAGACAATAATGACGAGCTAAAATCTGCCAAAAACAATCAACAGTCAAAACAGACAGCTCTTTCGAGTGTAATCAATGTTTCCTAACAACATCAAATCAATTCCAGTGTGTCTCCTTCCAAAACAAGAAAACATATGAGCTTGTGACAGAGACCTAGTTTCTGCTCAGCTGGTTCTCTGACAGACTGAGTCTCTGAGAGCTGTGGGAGAATCGAGCTGTCAACAAGCAGCAGGAATGTTTTTTAGCTCCTTGCAGGGACCGTTTCAACCCCTAGGGACGAGAGGATGAAACGACAAATAGTGATGGACCAGCACACAACAGAGAGCTGGCTACACCTGGGGGCAGCTGAGCGGAGGGAAGTTTGAATGCTGAGGGGAATATGTCAGCGTGATTTTGTGAAGACATTCACATCCTCCCCAGAATACTCACTCTCTCTCCAGAAGCAGAGGCACCACTCGGCAGTGGAGACCTTGCCGTCCCTGTAGGAGTCGCAGGAGTTGAAGAAGGGCCGGATGCACACCTCGTACTTGTCCAGGTTGATGGCAGCCAGCTCAGTCTGGTCCAGGTAAAGGTCGCCATTGGTGTCTAGCTTGGAAAACATCCAGCCTATGGAGTCCTTACAGCTGGCCACCAGGCTCCTGTCCAGCACTGCAAACACAACAACACAGACAAACAAACATTCATTGTTTTCAGAGGACAGCTGCACAAATGGAAAATGAAACCATGCCAGCAGAATATTTTCATCCTCCTGGTTTAACATTTTCCTAATTATGTTGCAGGTTTAAAATAGAAACGGGTTTAATCTATAAAACCTGCATTTCAACCTTTCATTTTTGACCAATTACTTCCAATTTTCACTTTACAGCCCAGTTAAGACTTGGTGCTTATCGGGCACTAACTTGTGGCCCGAACATGTCCTGAGGTTCACTTCCTGTTGCTTTGAAGTATAGCACGCTCCTCTATGTGACATATCTTGATCAATCCACCCAAAAGTGGTTGAAGGCTCTCTGCCCTGCAACTATTTTCAGACAAGTTTGCTATCTAGTAATAGGTTGCATGCTGTATCCAGTGAGAGCTGCAGAAAACATAAAAGTGGAAGCAGATCCAGTAGAACCATTAAGCTGAATTTGTTGGATTTTATTTTCCCCTTGGTCTTCTTTTTGCTTTTCCATATAACACAAGACTTAACATCTTGTTTGGACATTTTATAGTACCTGTAGTGCTTGTAACGATAGTGTTTTAACTCCCTCTTAGTGCAGTATGGATTCATTAAATAGCAGCTCTGACCTGATGTGGTGCTGGCTGCAGTTGTTTTGGCTCCGGTCTTGCTACTGTTGTTCTGCTTGGCATTAGACTGCAGGAGCTGGAACCAGTCCCTCAGACGCTCCCCGAGATCAGCCAGATCCTGCCCGGTACAGCTCTCTGTGGGCAGATTGAGAGGAAGAATATGATAATCTTTTGCGCATTATCCTTTTTTTATGATAATTGTTAGGTGTGTGAGAGACAGATACAAAATAAAATAAATGGGAAGCTTTGTATTCAAGTGAATTCACGTTAAAAATGAAAAATGTTACACAAGGTTTTGCAAAAGATACTGATGAGGTTCCTATGGACTACATACATACATTACATAACTTAGGGGTAATATTTGACCAATCCGCGTCATTTGATACCCATGTTAAGCAACTGACGAGATCTTGTTTCTTCCACCTATACGAAACATTAGTAAACTGAGATCTGTAGTTTCAACACCCGACCTAGAAATGATTATACATACGTTTATTTCATCTCGCATTGACTACGGCAACGCACTGTTCTCCTCTCGCAGCATGTCTGCCCTTGGTCGTCTGCAGGCAGTGCAGAATGCAGCTGCAAGACTTCTCACCCGGTCAAATAAACGGTCCCACATTACCCCACTACTCAGATTCACTGGCTCCCTGTAGCTTATAGGATACAGTTCAAAATCCTCACTCTCACCTACAGAGCATTGCACGGTCAGACTCCTGCATATGTGGCTGACCTAATTCATCCATATACATCAGCCCGCCCACTCAGGTCACACATGCACAATTTACTGTATGTCCCACGTACCCACCTTAAGATCCGCGGTGATCGAGCGTTCAAGGCCGTGGCTCCTAAGCTATGGAACGCTCTGCCCGCTCATCTACGGTCTGCTTACTCTGTTGACTCTTTTAAAACTAATTTAAAAACATTCCTGTTTGGGCAGGCGTTTGGGTAACCAGTGTGCTTGATTTTATTCTCTTTTATACTATGTTTTTATTTTGTTTGTACACAGCTGTTGTTGTAATGTTTTTATATAATAAAACTAAAGTGAGAAAAAAAACATTTGGCATAGCTGCGCTGTGTGTTTAATCCTACCATGTTTGCTCTCCATGGATGTGGGGGCAGCAGTTGGACAAGGACACAGCCCAGGACACTTGAGAGTAAGATCCTTCCCGGTAAGACACACCTGCTGCTCCAGCTTGCACTGCAACACACACACACACACACACACACACACACACACACACACACACACACACACACACACACACCACACACACACACACACACACACACCACACACACACACACACACACACACACACACACACACCACACACCACACACACACACACACACACACACCACACACACACACACACACACACACACACACACACCACACACACACACACACACACACACACACACACACACACACACACACACACACACACACACACACACACACACACACACACACAGAGAGAGAGACAACATCCACAAGGGGACACAAAGGTGAAGAAAAATGAGTTATTGCTGCTACACAGATCAAATATTCATGGGGTGTCTGACTGTACGCCTTAATTTAAATCAGAGCCTTCTCATGAATGCGCTCTATAACCTCTGCCTGCACACAAGATCGGGAATAGTGATCCAAAAGACAAAGCATAAATCAATAAACACATTCTGTCACCACAGGCCACCAATTGGTCCTTCTGAGGCTATATATCATGGCTCCTTGTCTCGGTTTCCCCCCCCTCCCTGAGACTCTGAGTGTGCAGGGTGAACGTCACTATTTACCGACAATGCTCAGTACATTATGTTAGCATGAGTGTAACACAAAGCAAAGCCGTGAATACGATTACCATCACCTGACACTTTGAATCGCCAGGTGCTGAAAAGTGCTATATAAATAAAATTGCCTTGCCTTGCCTTGACAGATGCACATATTGTTATACATCCTGTATACGTGTCTGTTTCTGTTAGAAAGCTTCACTTGTACAAGGTGTCAGGACTATTTGAGCAAATGTTATTAACACTACATATGCTATGGTAAAGCATGCAGATGATATGCTATTCGGAGGCCACATTGTTTCACTGCCAATGATTCCCAACCCTCCACCCCCAGAGTGATTATTTCTACCGTCTTTTATTTTCAGAGAAATGCTCATTACATTGATGGAGAAAAGGATGTTCTTCTCTATGTTTAAACCTATTCTATTCATTTGTCTGGCCAATTAGGGGCATCAGAAAAAGGCTGTAATCATGATATTGACATATTAAAGCCGCAGTTGGTGTCTTTGATAAAAAAAAGCTTTCTTTCGGTCTTCTGTCACTATATCCCTACAGGAGTGCACAAGACAGACAACCAGTCTGTGAACATGTTACAGTGTACAGTAGGGTGATCAGCAGTGATGATTTAACTTTATGGTTATATAAGGCTTCAATTTGTGGTGCTGTTGAGTTATAGTGTGTTATACTGAAAGGTGTTTCTATTATTTGGTTTACGCCCATTTATATAAATGTGTTGCACATAATATAGCACCTGCCATTGTGATTCAACATAATGGAACAGCACCACTAAGTACAGCCTTGTTATCATAGTCCTAATAAAGTGGCCACTGAATAATTAAAGCAAACTATTCCCACAAGCTATTCAGATGTATAACCTTCAATAACTAATTTAGTTTGAAAAAATTTGTTAGTCAGCTTAAAATTATTCATGTAGACCCCAAATGGTGGTCCAATGATTGGATAATACAATTATTTGGGAGACACAAAACCACTTTAGGAAACAGAACTGCTCGTAAGGATTTGCTGCAAAGCCCTATAGGTTCGTTTTGCTTTAGTGTACCTTTGAGGCATAGTTGCGTCCGTCTGATCCGCACACAGGCCCAGAGGAGGAGATGGGACAGGGCAGACAGTTTCCTTCAGGAGACCTGAGAGCGGGCTGCTTCAGTCTGCAGGACAGAGGACACCAAAAACACTTCAGCCTCGCAGAGCAAATTACACAGCAGCACCGACCTGAACATGGAGCAAACAGCCCTCCTCCCTGGTGTCTGAATGTATTAGCTTATCATTAAACAGCAGGCAGCGCTACAGCACTCAGACAAGCTTTATTATTACCACATTGCAAAGCAGCACATACTTAATGTAAACTAGTTGATGTCGACCTCGTGTTAATGTGAGAATTTGTAACAATGTGTTTTGGGAGTTAGTCAGTTCTTGCCCAGAGGCTACACACACTCACCTGTGTTCAAGTTTCTTGCGATTGACGCACACTGCTCTCTGGTAGCCCTGGGCGATACACACCTTGTGTCGGCTGCACTTAACCTTCTGACAGGGGTCCTTGGTGGTGTCTACATCTGGGAGAAAATAGAAACATGTGATGCATGCTGTATATGGCCACTGCTTCCCTTTCTACCTTTTTCTCTATCTTTCTTTGCCCATCATCCTACTATTCACTGGCAGTCTCAAATCCCAAATCTCTCTCCTGTATTTGCTCAGCATAACCCGAGTCAGTTTAAATTAATAGAGCGCTGCAGAACTGTTGGTCTTGCACTAGTAACAAATATGCATCCCGAGGCAGTTTGTGCTTCATTGAGGGTAGAAAAACTCTCGACCAGCAAAAAAAACCAGAAAAATTAAAGTTGCATTGCAGCTGTATGTAAAAGTAGCCACAAGACAATCTATTCCATTCCCTTAAAATGGTCTGGAGGAAGTCACACCTCACTGAGAGTTCTTATATTTACTACTTTAAGATTGTTTTTAATATCGCGTTTTATACTGTATATATAATATATATACAGTATATTTTTTGTTATATATACTTTTTTCGCAATGTAGGCTAAAATGTGCATAGCTAGCTCACTCATCCATCACACTCTCTGCTAGCAGCTAATGCTGGAGCGTGTGTCAGCACCCCACACACACTCATCATATGTCACTGTTGTCTATTCCTAGCAGGCTTCCTGCAGCCGACCTGGATGTCACACTCTTTTCTCTTCACTTCCACCGACCTTTATTCACCTACACTATCCATCATACATGGGAATACCGGTTATTCACTGACTGCTATTGTGGGTTTTAATCTACATGAAGGAGGTGCTTGTGTTCATCCCCTCCTCTTACTGTATCCTGTTTTATGGCACTATTATAATTTCACAGACTGGCTTAGGATCTCCTCTCTTGTCCTTTCCGCTGGCTGAATACATGAATGCTGCCAACATCCCAGGATTATTGAGGCGAACCGACAGATATCTGATTTGAGAAGCAAATCCAAAACAATACACCCTCCTGTCATGGCTGAGCTGGTTGTATAACTGACTGACTGAGACACAGTGAGGCTCCGAGGCATTAATGCCCAGAAGCAGACTCCTCATCCGTTCAGACTGTCAACAGTGGAGCCTTATTCTCTGGTCGCCCAGTATGCCAGTCCACATTGATTGAGTATCCCTGTACAGTACCTCACACATCTCCCAGCTTTTCTTGCTCTTTCTCAACCCTCTCCTGCCTTTTTTCTCTTTCGATGCAGGTCCCCTCTGCCAGATTCACACCAGTGCATCAGCAGAATCAGGGTGCATCAGCCAATTAAACGCTTACGATAACGCCTGACACAAAGGATGACAAGGAGATTAAGGTACTAAAGGGAATAAAGCACAGTGGGTAAGAGGGGAAGTAAGCAAAACAATGTACTGTGTAATCCAACCAGTGAGAATTTCACAAATACCTAGGCGTAAGATGTTGAAGAATGCGAGACACAGCGTACAAGAAGAGAGCAGATAATCCTGCCTTCTAATGGCTAAACATTTGTAAATAAATCTTGTTGGTAGCGAGCGGCTACAATGCTGGCACGGCGTTGTGTTGTGAGTACAGAAGCATAAGGTGGCTGCCTGAGCCTCATGTTAACTTAACAGGCTTCCACGGATTAAAGCAGTGCCTGCGATGATGACGTTTCCATAGCAACAGGCTTTCCGTGGACCGGGAATCATTTCTGGTTTGACTGTGATTTGCAGCTCAATCTGGTGTTTCTGAGAAATCTCTGCCTCTCTCCGTCTCTACAAATCCCCCCGTGGTGCAATCATGTTTATCAATCTTCCTTCCTTTCACATTCCTTTGTCTCCATAAATCTGACATCCTCACTCTCATTCATGTTCTGCCTGCCCTGCGTGTTTATTGTTTTCCTCCTCACATTCACACATCTCTATTCAACCCGAGATTCACCCACCTACTTCCATTTTTACTTTCCGAAAGTCCCTCCTTTGGTATTAAACTAATGCCCGCAGCAGTAAACCGCTCGTAATTAGGCCCCCTGTGCTTCTGTTTAATCCAATCCAGATTTGCACGAGGTTTATCCCTGCCGATTGAGGATAACGGAAGCAGAGCTCAGGCCTCATCCTCATCATCAACCCTCTTATCTACTATTTACACACTCAGTCTCTAACATCATCAGTGCTATCTTGTCTTCTAGGTTTACAATGAAGCCAGACATGTCTAGCAGTTCATGCAAAAAAGATGCTTAACTTCCCACAGGAACACAAAATAATCAGACAGGCAAAAAAATAAAAATAAAGGTCTAAACTTTAACCAGCATTCATTGATTTTTTTTTAACTATAGTGGGCAGTGCAACAAGCTGAAAACACAAACATTTCATTTAGTTGCTTACTTCCATATTTAGCAGGTGTGGGTGCTGACTATTCAAGCTCAACGTAGACAAAACGTAAAGGATTAATTTCAGGGCGTATTTAGAGGATGTTTAATGGAGGAGATTTAGTAGCAAGAAGATAATAAATACATGGGAGGCTTGTCTCTCCACTGGAGTAACATACAGATCCCTTCACAGTCTATATGTTGGGTTTAAAATTAGTTAGAAGCAGCCCCAGTTGGCCGGAGGAGGGAGAGCAGTAAGGGGCGACACTGGACAAATGTGTGGAGTGTGACGGTGAGGAGGGCAGCGGTAGACCCTGGAGGATTGTAGATGCTGCTTTTAGAGTTTGAGAGTTGCTTAAATCCAGACACAAGGTGTGTACAGCGTTTATAAAGAGCTGTGCAGATTCCCTGCTGGGGGAAGGGTCTGGTTCAGTGTAATATAGTGGAGTTAAAACGTGTTAATAGCTGTGGAAAGGTTTAGCAGAGGGCAGGATTTGAATAAAAATGTCTGGCGGGCAGACATCCAGCGGAAGGCTTTAACATGACGTTTGATGACAGTGTTTAAAATACACTGAACAAAAATATAAATGCAACACTTTTGTTTTTGCTCCCATTTTTCATGAGATGAACTCAAAGATCTAAAACATTTTCTATATACACAAAATAACCATTTCTCTCAAATATTGTTCACAAATCTGTGATAGTGAGCACTTCTCCTTTGCCGAGATAATCCATCCCACCTTACAGGTGTGGCATATCAAGATGCTGATTAGACAGCATGATTATTGCACAGGTGTGCCTTAGGCTGGCCACAATAAAAGGCCACGCTAAAACATGCAGTTTTGCTTTATTGGGGGGGTCCGAAAACTGTCAGTATCTGGTGTGACCACCATTTGCCTCACGCAGTGCAACACATGTCCTTCGCATAGAGTTGATCAGGTTGTTGATTGTGGCCTGTGGAATGTTGGTCCACTCCTCTTCAATGGCTGTGCGAAGTTGCTGGATATTGGCAGGAACTGGAACACGCTGTCGTATACGCCGATCCAGAGCATCCCAAACATGCTCAATGGGTGACATGTCTGGTGGTGAGTATGCTGGCCATGCAAGAACTGGGATGTTTTCAGCCTCCAGGAATTGTGTACAGATCCTTGCAACATGGGGCCGTGCATTATCATGCTGCAACATGAGGTGATGGTCGTGGATGAATGGCACAACAATGGGCCTCAGGATCTCGACACGGTATCTCTGTGCATTCACAATGCCATCAATAAAATGCACCTGTGTTCGTCGTCCATAACATACGCCTGCCCATACCATAACCCCACCACCACCATGGGCCACTCGATTCACAACATTGACATCAGAAAACCGCTCACCCACACGACGCCACACATGCTGTCTGCCATCTGCCCTGAACAGTGAAAACCGGGATTCATCCGTGAAGGGAACACCTCTCCACCGTGCCAGACGCCATCGAATGTGTTTGCCCACTCAAGTCGGTTACGACGACGAACCGGAGTCAGGTCGAGACCCCGATGAGGACGACGAGCATGCAGATGAGCTTCCCTGAGACGGTTTCTGACAGTTTGTGCAGAAATTCTTTGGTTATGCAAACCGATTGTTGCAGCAGCTGTCCGAGTGGCTGGTCTCAGACGATCTTGGAGGTGAACATGCTGGATGTGGAGGTCCTGGGCTGGTGTGGTTACACGTGGTCTGCGGTTGTGAGGCCGGTTGGATGTACTGCCAAATTCTCTGAAACGCCTTTGGAGACGGCTTACGGTAGAGAAATGAACATTCAATTCACGGGCAACAGCTCTGGTGGACATTCCTGCTGTCAGCATGCCAATTGCACGCTCCCTCAAAACTTGCGACATCTGTGGCATTGTGCTGTGTGATAAAACTGAACAGCTTAGAGTGGCCTTTTATTGTGGCCAGCCTAAGGCACACCTGTGCAATAATCATGCTGTCTAATCAACATCTTGATATGCCACACCTGTGAGGTGGGATGGATTATCTCGGCAAAGGAGAAGTGCTCACTATCACAGATTTTTTCAGATTTGTGAACAATATTTGAGAGAAATGGTTATTTTGTGTATATAAAAAATGTTTTAGATCTTTGAGTTCATCTCATGAAAAATGGGAGCGAAAACAAAATATTTTTGTTCAGTGTATGTGTGACTGTGTGAGCAAGCTCTAAGCAACAGGATTTATCAATAGCATCAAGAGGTATCAGACTCTAGACCTTGTGGAGTGTGGACTCAGCGTGTTTTCCTGTCTCCTTAGTCCCCCATTGATCTGACACCATTGATTGGACAGAAAGTATCCATCCACCTTTCACCTGGCCTATCTGGCTGCCTGTTGGAATCCAAGGTAGCCTACTCTTAAAACTCTTGAAAATAAGGTTTTCTGTGAGTGCTGTAGACAAACCGTTGAGTGTGTGTGCATGTGTATTTGTGTGTGTGCAGTTGTTTGTTCTTACAAGTCCAAATTACAGCCACTCTCCTGCAGTGTTTACTGTGTTTAGAGAGAGGAGAGTCAATCAGTTGGCGGATTGATGAATTGACTGTAGAAATATCGACTACAAATTACCCTGACCTCTCCCTCACTCTGCTCAGTGGAGTCAGCCGCTGCGGGGCTTGAATGCAGATTTCCAGCCCAGTCTGCTGTTGCCACTGATTGTCTGTGCTTTAGGAAGGTTGACAGTTCAAAAGCCTTATCCTCCTCTACACGCACTGCAGCAGTCTGGCGGAGAAATGAGGCCTGCAGGCTCATCTGAGCTCCGGAGTAAAGACATCACGCTGATTTAGTGATGTCTCAGAGGGACTAATCTCCCGTTCTTTCTCCTTCGCTTCATTAGGCCACTCATAAAGGAAGGCAGATCAATGGAGGGAGATAGTACACTCATGTCAAAAACCAGAGAAAGGGAAATAGATAGATGAAGGGCGTGTGGAATGAAAGAAGCAGAGTACTTTTCATTTGGCAACCTAAGGCAAGCATATGGAGCTTTGCTAAAGTGTTTAAGAAGCTAAGCACACATATTTGAATTCCCGTAATTATAGCAATGCCACTTTTGAATTTGACAAATCTCCGTTAGGTTAACTAAAGTTGGGGTGTTATTTCAACTCATTTGCCAGTGTACTTCGGGACGGGTGGCGCAGTGGTCTGTGCATCTGATCATGAGATAAAGGGGGGTGCTGGGGAACTCCAGTTCGAAACCCGCTCCTGCTGCCACTGCGTCAGGCCGTTGTGTCCTTGGGCAAGACACTTCACCCGGTTTTGCTCCTGTGGGTATTGTCCACAGTACATGTATGATACTAATGTGTACTTGTAAAAGCGCCTCGATGACTTCGAGGCGTGAAGATGGACGGTGTGGCGCAGTGCGCTGTGCAATGATCATCAGATCAAGGGGTGAAACCCGCCGCTGCTGCGTCTGTAAAGCCGTTGTGTCCTTGGGCAAGACACTTCACCTGAACTTGCTCCTGTGGGTATTGTCCACAGTACATGACCATTACATGTATGATATGTGTAATGTGTATTTGTAAAGCGCTTTGAGCATCTGGAAAAGCGCTATAATAAATGTAAGGAATTATTATTATTATTACTTCAATATGTGATGCTTCTGCAAAACCTAGGACTACATAGAAATAAAATGGTAAATGACTGCAATGAATTCTAGCACGAAAAAATCTAGATGCAGAATTTTCTGATGATGATGCAGTTGGTCGGACACTTGGCTAGTTATTTTAAAGCAATATGAATTACATTAAGCTGACGCTTTTATCCAAAGCGACTTACAATAAGTGCATTCGACCAGGAAGATACAAACTTGAAGAAAACAGAATCATATAAGTACATCAGGTTTCAATGAATGTTAATAAGGTGGGTCAGATGGCTCAAAACCTTTCATAAAAAATACAGAGCTCACATTTAACATCAGCTCAGATCACGCTCTCGATTTTGCACATTATTATAGTAGTTCAATAGAGTTGAATACGGAGAATATAAAGAACATGGAGCCGCAGATTATTGGACGATGCAATCTGATTCTTCTGCTCTGCAGAAAATGTATTTCAACAAAGTCTCAGTCAATACTTTTAGCTACACGAGACAAGACTACAGCAATATTAAAACAAGTTTACTACACCTACATTTTCTACCCTCAACCAGACCGCGGAACTGCTGAAACTGAAAGACATCTGAACAAAACCTACAGAAATCAAAGCAATTCTTCAATAGCAAGGAGCCTATTCTAAGATGAGTCAGGTAGTGAATATTTCTGTAAAAGTAAACGACGGTTTCAGGATGTGTTCACATTTAAACTACTTGCGAAGCACTTCAGACCCACATGTGACGACACACAAAAGGGTGACAGCTCATTACAGGTGTATTGTATCATGCTTTTGGGAATGGGATCTTACAGGCTAATGATCCCTTCTTTGTCTTCTTCCTGTAGAACAAACAGCTTCCTCTTGACAGATGAACAAAGTACAAAGACGTCCTTTCACTTAACACTTTTTTCATTTTCACCCTATCATGCTCTCTTCCTCCCCCTATTTCACATTTTTCTCCTCACCATATGCCTTGGAGTTGGCAGGAATAATGTTGATGATGTCACTTTACACTAAATCAAGGCGAATTAGCCCCCCATCTCTGTCTTACTCTCCTCTCATGCTTTTACTTCTCTCTCTGGCCTTTCATTGCATAATTAGTCCTTCATTAAGCCCTTTGGAAATTGCGCTAATGGACTCTGCCATTCAGCCGACTTCATTTAAGCTGCAAATCAACCGACAATGGTCGAGGACACGACTCTGTCATGACTTCATCTTGCAGAGACTCAATTAAGTCTCAGCAGGAGTCCAGGATAGACTTCCGACATCAGCATGACTCACGCACAAGACTGCAGCAGGAAAAAGGAAATAAACGAGGAAGCAGGATAAAGTAGCGATATTTTGAAGTCAGACAATGTTTACCATCTTCTAAGGGAGGCACATCGGATCCATTCAAGCAGATGAAACAGAGTGCTAACATCTTCCAACCTTTTCTTTTGCTGAGGAACTCACAACAAGTGTGGACAGCGAGCAGATGACCCCGGAGTACAAACACAGAGCGTACGCAACGCTGTCTAACACAGTTCAAACACAGTTCAAACACAGGCCACAGATTCAGTCCAAATGCTACAGCAGAGGCTAATAGCAGTTTGTTTTAATACATCATGTGGCTTTGCTTTCACTGCGTCATCATGCATCCCCGGACGTCATACCATTTTTTTTATTTAGTTGTTGCGTACATGTATAGGATGTTACGTTGGTGTCTATATCGAGAGCTGTGGTGAGGCATTTTGAGCACAGAAAAAAAAGTTTTGCACGTAAATAAACTACCGGACTGGGTTCCATTAGAATTGTTTGCCTTGTTTTTTTATCTTGGACTGATTTGGATCTACTTTAGATTTGGCTATTTACCCTTGATTATCTTTAAGATCCTTTAAAACATAGACTATATAAAAAACACATCTTACATTTCAAGAGTAGCAAATGGTTTGTTGTTGTCTCTTGTGTTGTGCCTATCCCTGTGTTACATAATGAGCATTAAAACAGTGTTGCATTATGGGTTGTTCATAGTCTTATTGTTGCTAGGCTAGAGACTTTCTCAATGTCTGTGCGAAGTGTTTTACTGCCACTGAAGAAATGCATTCCTGACGAGTGAGGTGAAATCTGCAGGGCTGGGAGTCAGCTGTCAGGCCGCCAAGATTTTACAGAATTATATAATGGTGAGCTCAAAAAGAGAGTCTGAAATCTGCCCGACAGGAGAGGGTGAGTCAATGAAGAAGAAACTGCACCTAAAACGTACTCCAACAAGCTACACAACTGTGGATTTACATTATGCTTTAGTGGAAGTATTCCACCTGTATCTTTAATGAGATTAAAAAAAAGCATTGAGAGGAAGGACTATCTTATCTTTTTATTAATAGTGTCTCAGGGAAACTTTCTTAACGAGACGATTACAAAATATTTTTCGAAAACCAGACATTTCTTGTCATTATAGAAATGTTTTGTACTGCATATATGGTGTATATTTTGTAAGGAGACATTTTTAATATGCACTAACATAATTTGTATCGCACTATTTGTATTCTAATATATTCTACTGTTTCTTCTTGCACTATTTTAATTTAAAAATGTTATTTGTTTTATTGTTTTATGTCCTATATAACTATGTTGCAATGTTGGAGGAGCTTGGGACTTAAGATTTTCATTGCCATTTCTACAAGCCTTTGAATTTGAATTGAAATAATGATAGCAAAAAAGAACTATGGATCTTTAATGAGGTTAATAAAACTAGATTATGGTTTTAAAAGAGTACACAATAGCTTTTTGATTGCTCAAGTTAAACTATTCTGAGCATGATAATATATTATTTTCAAAATATAGTTTTAGTGCTTGCTCAAAATGTCTTATTGCACGCTCAGGATTAAGACACAATTATAATCCAATAAATGTAAAACTGTATTAAACTAGCAAAGATCAACACAATATATGTATGATAAATGGCATTGAGTGACTTAACTAACCACGCGGAGAGAAGGAGATGGTAGGACACTTACTCTCATTAGAAGCTTGATTCTCATCCCAGGTACGAACATAATCATCCTGCAGAAACACAAAGAGAAAATAATCATGTATTAGCATCTGAGGAGAATGATGAGACACGTTGTTCACACACTGCAGGCCTGAGTGCACAGCGTTGTTGATGGCACAACATATCGACACTCTGTCACCTTCATAGAGGAGAAGTAGTTTACATTATCATCGTACACTGATTATAATGTGTACATTATTCTTGCAGCATGATAATTAGTGAGTCAAACAGACGGGAATGAACTGTATGGAAATGAGCCCAACAAATGTGCACCCGGTGCCTATATGTGAGGCATATGGCTCTTCTTTAAGTGCTCCTCCCCCTCCCCAACTTAATTAGAACATTAATCGTTCAATTTCAAAAAAGGAGGAGATTTTTTATTTAGAAAGAAGAGTAGGAAGAGTGTCAGAGAAGTATAGATAAGACACACAAAAAGAGAAGGAAATGAGACATGAATGAAAACGAGATATGTACAAAAACAGCTGAAAAAGCAGTGTAAAAAATCTGAAGAGAACTGACCTCTACCTCCTGGTGAAATGACAGCAAAAGGAGAAAAAAGCCAATATTAGTGAGGTACAGGGTATTAAGTTGCATTCAATGACATTGGAAGAACCAAATAAAGACTTTTCATGTACATTTAAAACCTCTCTTCTAACATTTAAAAGACATCCTTATTAAGTGTCCCAGAACTCTGATCGGTGCACGGAAATACATGACATAGCAAAAAATATAAATACACAAAATCTGTCCAAATCCAAATTTCACTGGTGTGTACGGTGCTAGATGTACATGAGTGTAACAAATACAGAAGGTTTTATTTTGATTTGAAACATATATTATTAGGGTTTTATTATTTAAGAAGATATAGAAACAATTTGGAAAGATCACATAATGAATATTATTTTCTTGCATATCATAAAAATAGAGTACTTAACTAGACACTTATAAATGGTATTTCCTTCACTCATAAGGGAATACGACAGAAGATATGTACAGATGTAAAGCTCTTGTAAGCATATTGCTGTCTGAAATAATAAACATGAGTCAAGATATTTACAAATCCTCCGCCCCCCTTTTTTCCTCAGAGATGACTTACTCATCACCGTAAACATTAACTGTACTGGAGGAGTGTGCCAAACAGCTCCCTGGAAGGTGATAAATCCTGACACAACACGTGAAATAAGCAGCCCTCATGAAAGCTGGTACCTCCTTCTATGATCCTCACAGTTGAGTTTCACAGGGGTAAATATTTTTCATTACTGGCAAGGATGTGCTACCGAACGGTTTCAAAAACTACTCTAGCGAGGCCTTTAACCTAGAACTGGAGAGCCTGGACTGGTCAGATGAGCTCAGTGGTACACAAGTTGAAAAACATGGCTTGGTTTCAAAAACAAATTCTCTGCAATACTCAATGATTTGGCCCAGGATAAAAAAATCGCGCTGAGCCGTGGATGCACTCCGGCATACTGACCGCCATGAAAAGCAGAGACAAAACATGCTCTGAGTTTCATAAAAGTCAGTCAATGCTTTCCAAAAGCACAAGCAGTGAACTCCAGGCCCACGTGACTGAACAAAAAATTGAAAGAAATGACGTAAGCTCCATGATCAAAATTGCCAAAAAGAGTTTCATCAATGTCAAAACTGAGGAAAACAAAAATAAACCCTGTGAACTTTGGAAATGACTCAATAACCAGCTTGGCTGCAGTAAAAAACTTAAAACGAGATTTTCGAACTTAAACATAAAGACAGATAACAGGCTCATCACAGACAAACTGGATGTGGCCAAGTACTTGACATTTTTGTTCACAAACATAGCCACAACTCTTGTAAATAAATTACCCTCCCACTCAGGGCTTTTTGGAGTAGATCACATCATGACCTACTACAAAAACCTAGGGGTACGCAAAGATGATTTCAGTCTAGCAAGGGTAACAACAGCAGAGGTACTCATTAAACTGAGCGCCCTCCAACCTAACAAGGCCACTGGCCACGACAATATCCCCTCCAAATTCCTCAGAGACACAGCAACCGCCATCTCACCAGTCATAGCTCACATAATTAACCTCTCCATAAAACAGGGGAAAGTACCCAAAGACTTCAAAATTGCAAGAGTAACCCCCCTGCACAAAAAGGGCAGCAAATTGGACACAGGCAACTACCGCCCTGTTTCTATACTTACCTCCATCTCGAAAGTCATGGAAAAAATAGTATATGAACAGGTCGAAAAGTACCTCGCGGAAAATAAACTAATCTATGAATTTCAATCTGGCTTTAGAACATCCCACTCCACTGACACATGCCTTCTTTATTTGAGCGACCACATCAAACAAGAGGTGGACGAGGGCAAGTACTGCGGCATGGTGATGCTGGACCTACAAAAGGCTTTCGACACTGTCAATCACCCCATTCTGATTGACAAGCTAAAAGCAATTGGTTTTGATGCAATCCTACCTGGAGGGGAGAGAACAGATGGTGGAGGTAAACGGTACTCTGTCCCCCCCCCTCCCAGTGAGCTGTGGTGTTCCACAAGGAAGCATATTAGGTCCGTTACTGTTCCTAATTTATGCAAACGACATGTCATCAGCATGTGACTGCAACTTGTTTCTGTTCGCGGACGACTCAGCCCTGCTGGTCTCTGACAGGAGCAGATTGCAGGTTGAAAAAACCCTCAGCTCCGAGCTCGGCAGAATCTGCACCTGGCTCGCCGATAATAAATTATCATTACACCTGGGTAAAACAGAGTCCATTCTCTTCGGTTCGAAACATAATCTCAGCAAATCCGACGACTTCTCAGTTGCAGTGGGCGACATTATTGTCACAAGTAAGAAGGAAATTACATACCTAGGATCTATTCTTGAGGCAAACCTCTCCTGTGACAAAATGGCATCCAAAGTAATAAAAAAAGTCAATCAAAGAACTAAATTCCTATAACGGCTCTCCTCTCTGGTAAACAAGAACACCCTGAAGACTCTGGCAGGAGCACTCATTCAAGGGTACTATGACTATGCTTGCACGTCATGGTACCATAGCACCTCCAAGGCGCTAAAAATAAAACTTCAAACATCGCAAAATAAACTGGTCAGACTAGTGCTTGACCTTTCATCTAGAACCCACCTCACCTCTGCCCACTTTGACAAGGATGGCTTAGAGTAGACGACAGAGTACAGCTACTTGCAATGGGCCTGGTCTACAAGATCCACTACACCTCTATGGTACCCATGTACATGTCAAAATTCTTCCCAAAGGTCAAGGAATACCATGATCATAACACCAGAGGGAGCTCCACAAATCATGTGAAACCCAGATTTGGCACAAAAAAGGGGGAATACACGTTTCGCAATTATGCCACATCAAGGTGGAACGCTCTTCCCACAACTGTAAAGGAAAGTAAAACTATACTTATCTTCAAAACCTCTCGTAAAGAGCACCTTCGGGGGAGAGCATTGCAAAACTGGCCCCGGTAATGGTACAAATCTCAACCTGTCGTACAATGGACAGCTTCCCCCCCCATCTATGTATATACTTGCATTTTAGACTCTGTTACTAACTGTATATCTGTAGACTTGGTATGTCTTAAATGTCCGGTTAGGATGTATTAGAACGAAATCTAAAATGAAAATTGTAAATAAGCAATCTGTATGTAAAAAACCACCTGTATGTAAATTGTAAATAAGCCATCTGTATGTCAAATATGTCTTATATGTCTTAAATGATATGATGAATTGGAAATGGGGGACCCTGATGTAAACAAGACGAAAGTCTTTCTCTGGTCTGCATCCCCTTAACAATTGTATGTTTTGAGCTGTACTGTACTGTACCCAATATACAAGCTATACAAACTTTTCAATCAATCAACGGTCTATCTGTTGCTCTTTGCTCATCCTCTAGTCCAGGGGTGGCCAACCAGTCAGAGGTTAAGAGCCACATTTTTTCTATGTTACTGCAAAGAGCCACATCAAACACACAGGCACTGATACCGCTTGTTTCCGTTTTTTTGTTTTCTGGAGACAAGATTTCAACCACGTCACTGATGCATTTTTGTGGCATTGGGATATATATTTTTTAAATCCTCTGGAGCAGAGAGAGGAGCTGTGGATTATTGTTATTGATTAATGCATCGGTGTTTCTTAGGGTCAAAAACACTAAATTCACAACTTAAAATGAAAGCGTTTAGTTTATTTAATAAAAGAGCACATGTTCAATGTGAAAAGTGACAGTAGTTATAGATTATTTGCAATTTGGTGCTATATATATTTTTAAAAAAAAATTATATATATTTTTTAAACACCTTGAATTTCAGGGGGGGGGCGCGGGGCTCCGTTGGCGGGGCGCAGCGCCCCTCCAAAACAATGGTAGGGGAAACACTGGATAGTGTTTAATCAACGATAGGTTTCCCCCCCTCAAAGGTGATTGGTTCACTGCATCGCAGGTATTATTGTGATTGGCTCTTGGGCCACATCAAAATTAGACTTGCTGTCATCCTCTCATACTGACACCTGACACCACACATACACACCGGGAGCCGGGACGAAAGTAACACGGGACGAAAGTAACGGAGCGATTTTATCCGAGCCCAAACAACTTTGACCGGCCAAATTACGTTAATACTTAACAGACCTACTAAATATCAGGTTTAACTGTCAGGAGTAGCTAGTGTTGTCACGATACCAACATTTTGGTTTCGATACCAAGTCAAGAATTGCGATTCCGATTATTTTTTTTAATGTAATTATTGTGCTTTATTTCACACCAGAACCATAACCATAACACAAACTTTTAAACAATGAGAACAATAAATTAAATAAATGACAAGATTTCCTATTAAATACAATTAATACATTTCTTACAGACAGGCCTCGTGGTGTCCGTAGGCTTGCCCTCACTGTCAGAGATATAGCTCAAATACTTCCAAATTTCGCTTCTGGCGTCTTTTTTGTCAACAAGCCGAGGCGCAGCGGCAGTTGCACTCCCACTTGCAGCCATGCTTCTCGTTTTCTCACATGCTCTGGCAGCTAGCGCGTGCACGAGAGAGGGGAGGGACTTAGAGCGTGCTTGAGAGGGGCGGGACTGCAGGCACGGCTGCAGTGCAGGGAGTGGAAGCAGAGCGCTGAACACACACGGCTCTTATTAAAACGGCGCTTTCTCACCGGAGTACTTTCCCCCGTCATTCTTAAAGTACCGATACTAATGAAACGGAGGAATCGTAACATTGTTAAGGGCAGGGTATCGCGGTACCTTTCAAGTATCGGTACACCGTGCAACACTAGTCAGGAGTCAGTGTCTCTCCCCCAAACTCACACATATACAATTCGATATGAACTGAAGAGCCGCATGAAACTAGGCAAAGAGCCGCATGCGGCTCGAGAGCCGCGGGTTGGCCATCCCTGGATTAATGCATCAGTGTTTATTAGGGTCAAAAACACTAAATTCACAACTTAAAATGAAAGCGTTTAGTTTATTTAATAAAAGAGCACATGTTCAATGTGAAAAGTGACAGTAGTTATAGATTATTTGCAATTTGGTGCTAT